ATCTAATGGATGGTAAATCATGAATTCATGTAACATATTGTTGAGTTACCTAATCTTGTTTTAACCAATCAATGGCCGTGAAGTTTGAAAACGCGACGCGTATCGAGGTTAAATATTAATCATGAATTAAACAAATTATATTCGACTGTAATATTCGATACGAAAAACATCTATACAACAATAATAATTTTATATCTGTGTAACAGTAAAAAACAACGAATTATTTGAAATCATAACCAAACATGTCAGAAGAAAAGTTTGAAAGGTATTTCCAATCATTATGTACATATAACAAATAAATATAACAAAAACTACTACTAATTACTCAATTAACATATTTAATGCTAAGATACATTTTCATTAAAGTAAAACAAAACTTCTATTATTGAATATCTTTGAGGTTATGTTCAATTGTTTGTTTCTTGAACTCTACGCTACGGTAGGTCACAAACGTGTACAAATCATTTAGTTCAATATCATCGGTCTTCTATTACAGTTTCTATACGATATTGTCATACAAAATTACATTGAGATTGTTAATCTCTATGATAGAACACGTTTGAATTAATTTTATCTGTGTAAAATCATATAAAATTACTTTGTTCCATTCACATATATCCTATTTCAATGAAGAAAAAAACTAAAATGTATGAAAACACTATTACAATATTAATCAAACGGAATTTGATACAATTATAAATATAATTTCTACAGTTCAGTGGATAAGGCGGAGGAATCTCAAGCCGAACCTATGGAGGATAAAATCAAAATAAAAGCAGAAGATAAGGGTAAACAGAAGCATAAACCAGATGAGAGTTTAGAGAAGCCTAATGGTCGTGCTACTAACAGTGAAACTGGAAATTGCTATTGGTAACTTTATATAAAATTCAGTTGAATAACATTTAAAAATTGTGTTTAACAATGATAAATTTGATCATATAATTTTTTTAGTGGAAAGGAAAGAAATCTCAACATAGTAGAACTACTATGTGCCAGTTGCTCCAGGTGGTTTCACGAATCATGCATTGGATACCAATTAGGTAAACTAGTACCATTTATGATGAATTACATATTCATGTGTAAAAATTGCTCTCCGACTGGTTTAGAAAGCTTCAAGAAAAATCAAGCACGTAAGAAGGATTACAATTTTCCATTTTCTATTAAGTTTGCTGCTTGCATCTATCATATGTATTCTAGAAATTTTGTCTTTTAGCCTTCCCACAAATGTGTGTGACAGCAATAGCAAATTTGCTGCAAATGGCACAGAAAGAGAATGAAGCAAGGATTATTTTTCATAAGGATAAAGATATCATTCCATTCATTGAATGTCATTGGGATAGCATGACTACTATGCCTCGCAGAGTCACCCAATCTTGGCATGCTACTGTAAGTAAGATTTGCTAAATGTGATCTTAGATAAATTAATTAATTTTATAAATAAATTAATTCTATTTTAGTATGCAATAGTTTGTGAAATAATTTAATTTGTATGCATATATTGTTTCTGTGTGTTTCAATGAGTACTTTAATCCAGATACACAGGGCTCTGTTGAAAGATGTTGGAGCATTATTCACTATTGATGAAAGTAGTTCAGACGGTCAATTATTTGGATTGGTCTCTTCTGATCTGTTAATGATTAAGCCAAACTATGAAGCCATGATTAAAGGAGGTCACTTAAAAGTGACTGAAATGGGTGTGCAACATGTTGGTAAGTGTTACCATTGAATATATTGTGTAACAGTTTCTTTAAAAAAAATTTATAACAAATATGTGATTAGTTTGCTATGTAATTATTAAAAAGTTTAATTTTGCTTTTACCACATTTACCCACAATTTAATATGCATTTATTTGTCAGTTAGTACGTTCCTGGAATCATACTATTTATTTTGATCAGTTCTTATCTTATCAAGACTATAATCAGTGGTGTGATATCATACAGTAACCTGCTTAATCGTAATGCTTACAGTACAAATAATCGTTTTAATGAACCATGTCATTTTTACTTATTAACATGTAGTAGACAATATCAACTATAAAGATCCTTGAATAATAAACTCAACCAGTGAAATTCTATACAAAACTAATTCACCGTGTTCTTGCAACGATATCTATTTCTAAAATCAGCGAATTAATCATCGACTACATTACACTTCAACATGGAACATTTAGTGCCTCTTAGTGGAGGACTTCGTGGCCGCAATGCGAAACGCAAGTTCCCAGGGGAAGGTGCAGGCAGTGGCCCAGGCAAGAAAGGCAGGGGCTCGGACATGACTGCACCAAAATTACCTGCACATGGATACCCCCTTGAACATCCATTCAACAAAGATGGATACAGATACATCCTTGCAGAGCCTGATCCACATGCACCTTTCAGACAGGTACGATAATGTTATACCTTCGTTAATCGATAATATATAAATTGACTATATCTACAGGAATTTGACGAAAGCAGTGACTGGGCAGGAAAACCAATTCCTGGATGGCTGTACAGAGGTCTTAGTCCAAGTACGGTGTTGTTAGCACTGCACGATAGAGCTCCACAGCTCAGAGTATCAGAAGATAGACTGGCAGTCACTGGAGAAAAAGGCTATTGCATGGTCAGGGCTACTCATAGTATGTCAGAATTATAATCCAATTTTTAGATTTTCTATTATTTCAGTAAACGTGATGTAAATTGTTATAAACTTTTAGTTTTTTTATTGATTTTATGTTTGATTAATGTTAGTATACTTTTTAGATGTAAGCAGGGGAGCATGGTACTGGGAAGCTACCATAGAAGAGATGCCAGAAGGATCAGCTACTAGATTAGGATGGGGTCAAGAGTATGCTAATCTTCAAGCTCCGCTTGGTTATGATAAGTTCGGATATTCTTGGAGATCTAGGTACAAACATAATTTAAATTTTATCTAAAACTTAGAGCGTATATCGTTTAAACCATTGTGAAGCCAACAAAATATTAAATTGCCAATAACTTACAGAGGTTCTAGTTTTTCTAATAACTTACAGGAAGGCTGCCATCAATTTATCAGTTTAAGATGTTAAATGTAAAATAAATTAACAATTTTTAAATACGTTTGTTCGCAGGAAAGGGACGCGATTTCATGAAAGTCGAGGTAAACATTATAGCCATGGTTATGGAGAGGGTGATACTTTAGGGTTCCTAATTGTTCTTCCTGACACGCATGATGCTTCACACTTACCTAATACGTATAAAGATCGAGTAAGTAAAAGTTTTAAGCAATAGTTTAAAAATAATAACAAAAATACATCGCTCCGTATAAACAAGATGTCCTGGACTTTTAACAATTAATCATCTCTTTCTCTGAAATTTTCTTTCATTTTTGATAGGAAATGATTATAAAAGTAATTATAGTATTATTATAATTCTACTTATGTATCAGCCTCTAGTGAAGTTCAAAAGCCATCTCTACTACGAAGAAAAGGACCAAGTACCTGAAGCACTGAAAGCTTTGAAACCTCTAGAAGGCAGCAAAATTATATTTTACAAAAATGGCATTAGTCAAGGTGAAGCATTTCTGGATGTCAACAAAGGAGCATATTATCCTACAGTCTCTATCCATAAAAGTGCTACAGTTTCTGTTAATTTTGGACCAAATTTCAAGTGTTCACCTATAGACGTTACTTTCAGAGGGGTATGTAAAAAGAATCGAAAAGAAAAAGATCTGAACTAATTTATTATTTATATTTTGGAAAAAATACAAAGGAGGCAACTTTATTTCGTATATATAAATTATTTTCAAATAACTTTTTATTCCAGTGAATTAAAATTTGTGCAACCTTTTCATCCAAAAAGCGAGATCATAGGAAATTTTTTGTGATGGAATTATTTTTAATGTACTAGGTTATTTGATCTGATTTTCTAATTGCTTAATTATTGGTTCTCGACAATCGATTCATCAAACAATTTTATCAAAAAAGTATTATATTGTTCGAATCTTTCTTGTATTATACTGAAGCACGATAATTGTACTTTGCAGATGTTCGACAGAGCAGAGGAGGCAATAGCGGAACAATCTCTTGCTGATGTACTCTATTTCACAGAGAATGAGGGAAAGCTAAGACTGGACACTTTTGCTTTATGACATTAATGTAACCTTTTATTTTCTTTTTTACTCTTGATTTACAATTATGATTAAATGTTTTTCACAACACTCAATAAGTTTCGTTCGAGATTTTTTGTCTGAATTAGCTTATTAGGTTATTTTTAATTATCTATATTTAAAGAGATGTTACTAAAGAATCTCATCTTCCAAAACCGCCCATACAAGCTGGACTTGGAGAGACTTTATTGCCGTCTTCCCACTGGTCAGGTGTTTTTGCCTTCAAAAAGAAGTGGTGACCAAATTTATTCGAGTAATATATGAACTTTAGTGGCATATATTTCATTTAAAATTTATAAGTACTTACTACTATTGATAACGCGTGCACTCCGCCCTGTAACTCAGCTTGTAGCAAGTTATTTATCATTTGATGTCGCTATTTAAACAAGAGTATATTTTTTATAATTATATTTTCCAATTTAAAATTAATCATTTAGAGAACGATTTTCTTTTTATTCTTTTTACGACGCTGTTAAAGGATATTATGTTCGTATCATCTATTATTTTAATTTGATTTCGAACGATCGAAATTTTTTATACCTATTATTTCTAATATATTCACTCTTTTTATATTTCTTATCATAATTAAGAGATTTCTCTAGTATGATATTCGATGAGAGCATTTTGGAAAATTTGGTGAATATGATACTATTTGTACTCATTCGTTACAAAAATACAGAACATCTTTTAACCTACATATCTTAAAATTTTAGAAAACGGAAGATTGCATTATTTTGGAAAAAAATTCAATTTTTCGAGAAAAATATTTGTTAATTATCTATGTTACAAAATTCGGATTGTGCAAATAATTACTCAATTTTAGTTCATACAATAACAGGAAAATTTAGAAAAATAAATGATCTTTACAAATTGGCAAATAGGGGAATCTCTTACAGCCAGCATTTCTTTTTATGGTAACGATACTTCTCTATACAACTACAATCATACTGACTTATGCCTAAGAATAACTTAGCACAAAAATGTGCAGAAAACTAGATTTTAAATTCTCACCTTAAGAAGCGGTTTGCCAACAAACTCCTTGGAGACAACAACTACTTTGAAATGTGTCTCAGCTCCTTTAGGCACATTATGCATATAAGATTCGTTAATCACTTCCATATGAGATGGATTCAAAGAATCTGCCAACTTCTTCCTTATGGAAAGCTGTACTGGATTATCCTGTACTGCACTACTCATATTTCGCAGGGAATAAAATGCGCTCTTATACCGTGTGTAGGATAATTGTCTGTAGATATCTAAGATCCAAATTTTCAAGACTATTTCAAGGTCATTTGATAATTCTTACAAATAATACAAAGGTGCATTTAGACTAAACGAATATTTCAAATATACAGAATGAGTCATCTGAAACTATGACTCAAAATTACTTAGAAATTATAATTTTTTAAACATAATTCTCTGTTTCGAAGATATGACTGCCACTTTTAAATTTTTTTTAAATCGTTGAATGAATTCATTTTTTCTATATTGTAATAGAGTATTTGTTTAAAATGGCCTTTGTACAATTAATAAATTTTAAATAATCTTAAATTATTACGTGGTTCATCGCGTATTTCGAAACAATATTTTCTAACAAGTATATACTATAAATACAGTATTATTAATTACTTTGTAAATGTTTATGCAAATTTATATTTATAAATTTAAAAAATTGGAATTGACCT